TTGGTATCTGCTGGGGTTTGATACAAGAATGCTCTGTTGATACAAAAATCTGTGGATGCTCAGGTCCTATTATATACAATAGTGTAGTAAAATGGTATCCTTTATATAAAATGGCAAAATCAAGGTTTGCTTTTTGAATTCTTTTTAAACAATGTTTTCAAGCTATGAACGGTTGACTCCATCCACAGAATCATGAATACAGAGGGTGGAGTATCATTAGAATAGATGTCTTTTCCTGACAGTTGGAACTCAAGCTGATTTTATAATAATAATAATAATAATAATAATAATAATAATATATTTTATTTATATTCCGCCCTATCTCCCCAAGGGGACTCAAAGATACAAAAAGTCAATATTAACATATAATGGTTAATGTGAATAAAACAGAAATCTGGACTTCCAGGTTCAAAATTGACCCCTGGAAAATATACAGACTGAGAACAAATCCCATCAGCACGGGTTGTATCCCAGGGGCAACCTCTGTTTTGTCTGGATTCAGCTTCAATTTGCTTGGCTTTATCCAGTCCCTGTTGATGCCAAATGTTGATATAGAACTGAAATCATTTCCCTTGGAGTTAGATGGAAACATGAAATAGAGCTGGCGTTCATCAACACACTTGTGGCAGTGAACTCCAAACTACTAGATTTTTACAGAGTACATAACTTTAAAGCAAGCAAGTTTCCCAAACATGGTGCACCATCTTCTGGTTCTTTTTGCTGTTCGACTGAAGTACTCTTAGCAGGGTAGGTGAGAGGGTGGGAATGTATGCCTTGCTCCATCAAATAATCCCAACATTATTTATTTATTTTCTTAGTGTCATCAGTTAACATGGCGCTTTACACAAGAAGTTGACGATGTTCCCTGCACTCAGGCTTGCCATCTAAAAGGACATGAAATACAAGGAAGTTGTCATCAACATATACTTTTAGCTCAGTAATATCGAGGTTATCAGTGGCTTGGGTAGCATTTCTCTCAGTCCATGTACTGAATACATGCTACGCATTTTCATTAGTTTTACTATGAAAAAATTATTTCTATCAATAGCAGTTCAAATGTGTGTAGCACTTTTCTTCATTTGCATCCATTTTTGGCCCTGGATGTATCCAAGTGTCACCTCTTTGTATTTCTGCCCTACTGTGGGTCCTGCATTAGGTCTTTCTATCCCCACCTCTTATGACATCTATATCTCTTGGTAGTTTTTCTTGGAAACACTCATCTCCTATCTCTAGGTCTTCAGCTGCTTCACTGACCAGGGTCATAAGGTCCCCTCTTCAATGTATCTGGAAGCATTTCCAGAATCTTATTCATCAACAGGGCCTACTTCAGAAATGATGAAGGAATGTTCTTTTCTCTCCTAGGGAAGCTTTCAGCAGATAGCACACATATTTATCTTCAAAAGAGCTGTGATTGTACTCATCAACACTCTGCACAACTGTTCCAGAAGATTATTTGAAATATTATACCTTGACTTTCACTTGGTTTTACTTCAGTGTGTAAAATATAAAGCACAAGAAACAGCTAGGATCAAATGTGTTAATCTGGTGCTTTCCCTCTTGTTTGCTTCTCATGGAGAAAACTGTTTTTCTCCATCTAGCCATTAATCTGGCAGAAGGGGAACCACAAGTTATTCTGAAGTTCACAGCAAATTGTGGCGTGGCCTCAGTATTTTTGAGATGTGCACAGCTGGATCAGGCTGAACCAGGAGTGATCTTGTATCCACACATCAAAAAGCCCCATAGCTGTGTTGCCACATCTCTGTGTGGTGATCACATGCCTGGGTGCTCTGTTAGGATATTTCCAAAACAGATTTTGCCAACATGGCTCTGAAAGGGAGCTTATATGGTCTAAACCAGTCCTCAAACTAAGGCCCAAGAGCCAGATATGGCCCTCCAAGGTTATTTACCCGACCCTCGCTCAGGGTCAACCTAAGTCTGAAATGACTTGAAAGCACACAAGAACAACAACAACAACAACAATCCTATCTCATCAGCCAAAAGCAGGCCCATACTTCCCATTGAAATACTAATAAGTTTATATTTGTTAAAACTGTTCTTCATTTTAATTATTGTATTGTTTTAAAGGGGGTTTTTTTTGCACTACAAATAAGATATGTGCAGAGTGCATAGGAATTCATTCATGATTTTTTCAGATTATAATCCGGCCCTCCAACAGTTTGAGGAATTTTGACATGGCCCTCTGTTTGGCCTTTCTGAATATTGGCTATGGTTTACCTCTGAACATTGGACTGGATCATTAAAAAGCTGAAACACATCCTAATTCATTCTACCAGCTTGATTGTTTGAAAATCTGTGGACCTGACTGCTCACAGGGCTAGGGGTATACAAGAAAAGTCATATTCCTGCTGTAAAGTGGACAATCTGATGCTCTGAATTGAGGGTATTGCCTCAAAGGCTCTGTGTAATGTATTACCACAGTATGATACCTACCCAGGGGGGGGGGGGGTTGCATTTGGTCTTACACAGAACTGCAGATGACACCCAACCTATATACAGATGACACCAACTCTACTACTCCTTCACACCTGAAGCCAAAGAAGCTGCCCTAACCCTAAACCATTGTCTGTCATCAGTAATGGACTGGGTGAGAGCAAACAAATTGAAACTTAATCTAGACAAGATCACTCTGATGCACTCTACGTGGGGCTGCCTTTGAAGAATGTTCGAAAACTTCAGCTGGTCCAAAAAGCTGCGGCCAGGTTGCTAACTGGGACTAGCTACATGGAATGGACAACTGCCCTGTTGCAGCAGCTCCACTGGCTGCCAATCTGTTTCCAAGCACAATTCAAAGTGCTGCCTATGACCTTTAAAGCCCTAGATGGTTCAGATCCAGGCTATTTGGCTGACCGCATTCCCTTGTGAGGAAGCTTGGAAAGCAAAAAAGAAATGATTTTTAGAAATACTTGTAAAGCTAAGCTAAAAAATGCTTGAAAGAGAAAAAAATCTGCTTCAGTGTTCATCTTGGGAGGGGTGGTGGATCATATGGCACATAATTAATAATCATATAGACACAAGCTGATTGGACTTTTAGGCATTCATTTGACTTCCCAGAAGTCATGTGCTTTTAGAGAAATGAAAGTTTAGTAGAAACTCACTACTATGCATGAACACACTCCATACTGAATCGGCTAGTAAGAAAAAAAAACCTGATTTATGATGTAGGAAAATAGAAACTTATTTTAAGAAAAAGTACTAAAAACCCACCCATCATGTGTTCAGGGAGGGCAGTTTCACTTTTTTTTACCTGGACTGTTCACCTGTCTGGCCAGACATAATAAATCTGGTTGTTTTCACCTATCAAATCTGTCTGTTCTCCTACATTTGTATGAATCTGCCCAGGCCCTGAGATCTTCAGAAGAGGCCCTTCTCTCTGTCCCACCTCCCTCTCAAGCTCAGTTGGTGGGAACGAGAGAGAAGACCTTCTCAGTGGCTGCCCCTCGACTCTGGAACTCACTTCTTCCCAGGGAAGCCAGAATGGCCCCTCCTTGCTGTCCTTTATCAAGGCAGGTTATTAAAAAAGAACGTTTTTAAGATCAATTTAGGGGATGCTGGGTTTTTTTGTTTGTTTAATTATGTTTTTAAGCAGTTTTATGGATTTGAACTTAATTTTCTAATACTATTGATGTTTAATTGTATTTTAATGTTTGCATATTTATGGATTTAAAATTGTGTTGAAATGCTTTTAATGTAAGCCCCTTTGAGTCTCCTTTGTGGAGAGAAAATGTGGAGTATAAAGAAACATAATAAATAAATAATAAAATTAGCACATCCTGACATTTTGGAGATGAACTAAAATGCATATGAAGCTTATTTGATGCCCCTAACACTCCTGAAAGGTCAGAGTCATAAAAAGGAGCCTTTCTCTTCTGTAGAGACACATTGCAAGAGGCATTCTTGACACTGTGAAGAGTGTGTGAGAGATATTTATTGCAGAAATGCTCAAGGCACAAGGCAGACATGGAAACAAGGAGTCTTTCCCCAGTTTCTCCATTAAAGACATTTCACTGGCCATGATTTGAAGGCCTGATCTGCCTTGAACATATTTTCAAAGGCAACCAGCTCCACGGTGTGTCCAATTCTGGTCTGCTTTGCTCTGGAAGAGTGCAGTCCTGCCCACATGGGAGGCCAGCATGTAAGCAGGATCCCTGCCAAGGAGGGACTCTTCTGCTTATTGCTATTGCAGGACTGCTTTGGAAACTTTCTTTCCTTGCACAGCCACGCTTGGCAGCTGGAGGAGGAGGAGAAGGAGTGGAAACATCACCAAGGCTCCGTAGAGGTGCCATATCTTGCAGAACACTCCTGTGTGTGTGTAGGTGTGTGTGTCCATACAGAAGAAGATTTGGGGGTTTTGTCAGCAGGACTAGTTCATGCCCTACATTCCCATCCAAGGAACAATAACTATGTGTTTGCAATCTCTTTTTATGGTGGTCATGAAACACTGTGGAAGAAAAGGTTTTGTGGAAAACCAAGGACAAATGACAGGTAGGTCTAAAGAATTGACACAATGTTTTACAAAAACTAAGTCATAACGTGGCTCTTATTTTTTTAAAGTAAGGGATCAGTTCCAGTTGGACGTAGTTAATAATTGTGTTAGTGTAAAAAAAAAAGCAAGGAGATTTTTAGGGATCTTCAAGAAGTTGTAACAAAGATATCACTATGAGGAAAATAAGATTTTTAAAAAGTTAGACTTATGAGTTTGGATCATCCATCACTAAAATAAGAATTAATTGTTTAGAAACAATCAGTACATGGATGGAGATCCATTTCCACCCATGGTATTCTGGATTTTCTTTTACCACACTCCGAAAATATGGAAATCTCGTTAACAGAAGAAAATGCCACATCATGCTTCTTTTTATTTGTGTCAGAGGAAGGCAAGGGCAACCCCCCTTGTCAAGAAAACACCATTTTAGGTGTGTGCTAGAGTCATACATTACTTGAAGACACACAATAACAATTTGTAAGGTGTTGCATTTATTTATGTTTTCACAAAATTCATCAGCTAGAGCAGAAAACACCAAAAAACCTTTTAAAAACCTTTATGACAACAGTCACACTGATCATATTTAGTCACCCTCACAACTCTCAGTAATTCACCACACTAGAGAATGAATCCAGTTTAAATTCGGTTTCTGCTTCCTCCCAAAACTACAAGCCCCAGCATTCTGCAGGAGGCAGAAACTGAATTTAAACTGGATTCATTCTCTATTGTGATGAGGTCCTTAGTGTGGCTTCCAGTGTTTACTTTAGTCCCTCTTTCCTTTCTCATGCCATCCTGCTCGTATGAATGGCACTGATTTCTCCTTTGCTTGTCTTAGTCTTCTGCTGGCGACTCCCTAAGCTATGCACCTCCTTGTCCGCAGCACTTTGTGCTGTCTTGACGGCCAGGCTCTGGCTTCCCCCATCATGGATATCCAACCCACTTTCAGCGGCAAGTGCTGGTCCTGCCCTTCTTGCCACATGGGCTTTGAATTTGACATCGTAATAGATAAGGTAGCCATCATTGTACATGTAGAGCTTATGGTCATTCGGGTTATAACTCAGACTCTGCATGGTAGGAAGAGGTTTGTTCAAAAAGATACGTGGCCTATATTCCTTGGCTGAGTTGGTGTCAAATGCATAATCTATCACCTCATGAGTTGAATTCACTCTTTTGGTGGCATACAGCACCCCACAAATCATGAACGCATTGCTGACATCACTCTTCCTGAGTGAGGTGGTCCAAGGTGTATCTGTCTGCAAGGTCTCTGGGTTGACTTTCCTTATGACCATATTCCCATTGGCCATTTTAGATGCATGTATCATCCAAAGTCCCTTTTCATCCCCAGCCATGTCCATGTCTTGAAATTCGACACCTTTGTAGGAGAACATGTTATTAAAGGAAGGAGGATCTTCATCCTCCAGCTCCTTATGCAAGAGTCGCAAAGTGTGTGGGTCTATTTTGCACAGATTCCTGCTGTTGTAACAGTTGTAATAGAAAGAGCCATTGAAGAAGATTACACCACCCCCTTGTCCACAGTTTTCACATTTATCGTTAGCACCGCGAAGGCTAAATTCCATCACTGGAAGATAAAGCATCAATTTTCTGAAAGAGGAATACAAGCGGAAACTCTCCAATGCAGAATTGTTTTTGTTGGCTGGGAATACCCAATAATGATCTGGTGATTTAGCCCCGACTGCAGAATCTTTTCCCCAAGCTCCTGCTTTGAAATCTGCCCCTTTCCAGTTGCGCTTCACCAGAACAGGTCCACTTACTCGCAATAGCCCATCATGGTTGCATGAACCTGTGGGAGAACAGGAAAAAAAATAAATACATTCCTTCTTGAAACAAACAGAGTAAACCTTTGTGATAGTTCTTCCACCTGTTGCTGATACTTCATCTTATTGATGGGAAGCTTCCCACTGGAGTGGAAATCATCTATCTGACAGATGGCAAGCTATTTAACCTCAGTGGTCTGAAAGCCAAAACCAAAATCACAACAACATATGTTATAGAACTCCAATAGGCTGGTGACAATGTCATCTGTGTGCATTCAGAAGACCTACAAGCCACTTTAAACACCTTCGCAGAAGCATATGAGAAGCTCGGTCTGTCATTGAACATCGAGAAAACCAAAGTGCTCTTCCAGCAGTCACCAGCCAATCCCTCTCCAATGCCAGAAATACAGCTTAATGGTGTAACATTAGAAAATGTTAACCATTTCCGCTACCTCAGCAACCACCTCTCCACAAAAGTCAACATTGACACTGAAATACAACACCGCCTCAGCTCTGTGAGTGCAGCATTTTTCTGAATGAAGCAGAGAGTGTTTGAGGACCAGGATATCCATAGGGAGATCAAGGTGCTTGTTTATAAAGCCATTGCCCTCCCAATTCTTTTATATGCCTGCGAAACATGGACTATCTACAGATGTCACATGCAACTCCTGGAAGGATTCCATCAGCGTTGCCTCCAAAAAATCCTGCAAATCTCTTGGGAAGACAGGCAGACAAACGTCAGCATGCTGGAAGAAGCAAAGACTACCACAATTGAAGCGATGGTCCTCCACCATCAATTCTGCTGGACCAGCTACGTTGTCCGAATGCCTGATCACCATCTCCCAAAGCAGCTGCTCTACTCTGAACTCAAGAATGGGAAACAGAATGTTGGTGGATAGGAAAAGAGATTTAAAGATGGGCTTAAAGGCAACCTTAAAAACTGTGGCATTGACACAAAGAACTGGGAAGCCCTGGCCCTTTAGTGTTCTAACTGGAGGTCAGCTGTGACCAGCAGTGCTGCGGAATTCAAAGAGGCACAAATGGAAGGTGAAAGAGAGAAACGTGCCAAGAGGAAGGTGCATCAAGCCAACCCTGACCAGGACTGCCTTCCACCTGGAAACCAATGCCCTCACTGTGGGAGAAGATGTGGATCAAGAATAGGGCTCCACAGCCACCTATGGACCCATCACCAAGACACCACATCTGGAAGACAATCATCCTCAAGCTACGAGGGATCATCTAAGTAAGTGAATTGCTGGAATTACAGCACTGAGGGTTTTCTTAAATCAGGAAAACAAACAACCTTCCATTGTTCATGGAACATCCAGAGGTAATTTCAAGCTCAAACAGAAACATTATATTCTCACCTAGGCCCCACCTACACTGTCTTATAATGCGCTTTGAGAATGCAGATTAACTGCATTGAACTGGATTATATATAATATAATCCAGTTCAATGTAGTTCAATATGACCACATTATGCAGTTCAAACTGCATTATGTGGCAGTGTAGATGGAGCCCTAGAATTTAAAATTCCAGGATACACCACAGCAAACAAACAAACAAAACCACCTTTGAGAAAGATATATGGTTTTCTTGTTCCAATTAAAGGCCGTTCCTCCTTTTCTTTGCAGGATGGCAGTGGGAACACTGGACTTTTATGCTAGAACAGTAAGATTTTTAGAACACTATGCTGTTAAAAAAGTAAACATGCCTAACCAAGGGAGCGTCTACACTGCAGAATTAAGGCACTTTGGCAACATTTTAATTGTCATGGCTTAATATTATGGCAGTTCCCGTTCATTGAGGCATCAACACTCTTTGGTAGAGAAGGCTAGACCATGAAAAACTACAGCTCTCGTGATTCCATAATTCTGAGCCATAGCACTAAAAGTAGTGTCGAACTGCATTAATTCTACAGAGTAAATGCAGGCAGCGTGATATCAGCGAATGCTAAGAAAATGTTTACATACTTACATACCCTAATCACGCAGGCAACATGTGATCAACAAATACTGAGGAAATGTTCACCTACTTCTGTACACAGAGGTGTATCCAATGATTATGGTACCAAATAGAAAATTATGTTACCAAATATGGATGGAATACTAGTATATGCAGCATCTATATAACCCTTGTAATTTGAGCTTTTGGGGTGCTCGGGGAGGATGGGGGGAGGACTTATCCTGCCCAGGGCCCAGTTGAATAAACCCCCTTTTTCCACTCCAGAAAGACTCGGCATTTCCTTGAACATCAGCCGCAACACACCCAGAGTCAATACTGGAATAGCAGAATGTCCCTTTCTTTATAGCATTATGATATCTGAATGCTTATTGGTCAAATTGCATATGCAGTTTCCAAATTAGTAATAAATTAGGCTTTCTGTTGTTATAGATGTTGTTGTTGTTATTATTATTATTATTATTATTATTATTATTATTGGAATTGTTAGGACAAGTCTGAGGAAACAAAAAAAAAGAATAATTTTCTTTCAGAGCCCGTCCACACAGCCCTGTATCCCAGAATATCAAGGCAGAAAATACCACAATATCTGCTTTGAACTGGGTTATGTGAGCCCACACTCAGATAATGAGAGATATAGGGCTGTGTGGGAGGGCCCATAGTCTCCCTAAATGACAATACTCCATCTTTCCACAAACTCAAAGAAGTTGATGAGCAAGACTGACCACTTCATCAAACTAGAGAGAAAAATCCACTTAAAATCTGGTTTCTGCCTCCTGCAGAATTATGGGGTTTGTAGTTTAGTGAGGCTGTAAAAGGCTCCCCCCTAAACTACAAACCCCATAATTCTGCAGGAGGCAGCAACTGGATTTTAAGTGGATTTTTTTGCTCTAGTGTGTCATCTAAACTTCTGGGCTTTGAGGGGAATGTCTTTCCAGAGCTGACCCTGCTAATGCAGAAAGCTTATCCCATGGTTTTAGAGTGGTTTTCTTTGCATCAGCATGGAATGGAGCAGGTTCTTGAGTGGCCGGAAGCCCCTCCTTTGCCTCCAGGGTGCCTGTCCTTCATGGCCCATGCTTGGCTTTCCAACGCCCCTCGGGGAAAGCCACCCCTCCTAAACTTCCGGCAGTGGGCACAGCAGCATGGAGCTGTGTTGTGGGGGTTTGCTCTGGGTGCTGCGGTTCCTTGGCTGCACAATGTGCACAAAAGGATGGAGGCACTATGCTGATTAGTCATTTTTGTCCTGTCCCTGGCCAATAGGAATTCAGGTTCCTTAGCAGGCAGGGGCGGCTCGTCCATTACTCGAGGTAAGCGGTCGCAGAACACTTTTTTTTGCCAGGGGCGCAGAGGCGCCTCTGTAAATGCCCCTCGACCGCCACTTGAGGAGCGCCCCCTCAGCTCACAACAGCCCTAGCAGTCGGGGGGAGCCTCGGCTTTCTTGCCTCGCTGCCGGGCGATCCTCTTCCCAAAGGGGCCGGGCCCTTGAGCCTCGCCTAGCCCCTCTCGTTCCTGCTCCACCCGGCCACCAAGTGCACGAGCAGAGCCGGCACTCAATCGTTCTCCGCGTTCGATCCCTTCCCCATGACCGGCTCCCTTTCCCGATCCCCCGGCGCTCCACCTGCCTCCTCTCCTCTCCCCAATCCGCGGGTGGGCCAAGGGGCGGAGCCACCATGCCTGGCCCGCTTTGGGTCCGGAGGCGTGTTTGAAGACCCCAACATGCACACCAAAAATTGCCTCTTCTCCTGACTTTCTCTTCAGCCATTGGGACCAAGAGAGAGAGAGAGCCCCTCCGGCTGGAGGTATCTCCCACCTCCGCTCCCTCCTTTGTTTTTGCGCCTACCTTCAGGAAAGGTGGGCATCTCCACCTCTCTCTCTCTCTCTCTCTCTCGGTCCCAATGGCTGAGGAGAAAGTCAGGAGAAGAGGTGACTTTTGGTGCACACGCCGGGGTCTTCAGGCACGCCTCCGGACCCAAAGAGGGCCAGGCAAGGGAGCAAGTGCGGCAAGTGTAGTTACTGGGATGTATAGTTCACCTACAATCAAAGAGCATTCTGAACTCCACCAATGATGGAATTGAACCAAATATGGCACACAGAACTCCCACGAAACAGAAAATATATATCAATGATTGGTTGGGGGGGGGGGGCCAAAATACTGTTTGCTTACCGTTGAAAATTACCTAGGGCCGCCTCTGTTAGCAGGAAACCTTCTGTGTGTTTGTGTGAAAAGAAGAGCCTAGTCTCTCCCTTCCAAGGAGGTCTTCTCATCCGCCAAACTAGTCAGGAGTGGCAGACAAGGGAAGGGTGTGGGTGTCTCCTGCACACCAGATCAGCTCTGAGACCTCACCAGGAGGGTAGAAAATGCCTCCCACTTCTCTGCTGAGAAATTGTGACTTTCCATTCTTCTGGACAGGGAAAGCAGAGCCCACCAAAGCTTTTGCCAACTCCACCAGGCACCTGTCAGCGCTCCGCTCCCAGAAAGAAAGAACCTGTCCAGGACGTGGCCCAAGCCCCTCGCTTCTGCTTAGTTGCGTCCCTCTTTTCCTTTTCTAGATGGACATAGTGGTGCGGAGCCTGGCCCTTGGGAGAGAGGGACTTGGGCATCTTTCCAGCACCCACTGTCCTCCCAAAAGCTATGGGTGGCAAAAGGATTCAGCCAAAAAGAGATATGCACACCCTCCACCATTTCACAGCTGGAAAGAGGACATTTGTACCTAAGCAACATCAGGGAGTGGTCAGGGTGACTAATGTTATTAACAAGGAAGAGATCACAAGCTAGGAGTGTGTGCAGCAGTTTGCTTTTGTTTGAGCTTCCAGGGAAAGGCAAGTTTCTGTCCTCTCCTCTCTTCCTTGATGTGCGATTGAATGCCAACTCCTTTGGCACTTTCAACTCAGTTTGTAACAAAGGAAATAAGTAAAGCGCAAAGTGAAAAAGCGGCCCAGGGAGGGAGAAACTGATTTTTTAAAAGCAGCTTTGAAACAGCAGAGGATTAATTGAGCCTGTCCTTTCCATACAATGAACAATGGAAGAGTAAGAAAAATGAGTTAGTGTTGCAGGAACCAGCAAGCAACTTGCATAATTTGGGAAATTGTCTGACCATCTCAGAACTGTTCTGCTGTTTCAGTTTCCTGGGGAGAGGAGAGCTTAGGAGGGCATTAATATCGTGCTCGAACAGTAGGAAACTGTGGATATCGAATATCAGGATTGTATTATTTTACTGGGCTTCTTCTAGTTCTCTTCTTTACAGAAATTCCAAAGCAGTTCAGAATATACATTCATATTTCCCTTGACTCTCTTTAGAGTCTAGAGTGTTAAAATAGGTCTCAGCAACATTGATTAAATATAGACTGAAAGCTGAGGAAAAGGCAAACACTGCCTTTAAAAAGGAATCCTTTCAACATACTTACAGTTGTGAAGAAGGTAAGCTCTCAGGAGAGGCGGGGGGACTGGGCACCTTTTTGGCCTCAAATGGTCTCCCAAATCCATTATTCCAGGATTGCTTCCCACATTCAAGGGTATGTTTAACTAATCAACACCATGTGATGTCCCCAAAGAACTGCTTATATTGCTTTGGAGTCTTGCACAGTGAAAGGAAATACATTTGCGCCAATTGTCTGTATTAATTTGAGTAATGTTACCACGTTCTTTGACCAATGACATTAGAATCGCTTGTAACAAAAACAAATTACAATGAAATAACAAATATGAGCTCATGAATGGCAAGAGTTTGTGAACAAACAAGAATGTCTGCTTGATTCTTTAGTTTGCGAGGCAGAGCCAGAATGCCACAAATGACACACTCCAGTGATCTGCAACATCCATGTCATGTTTGTGTATTTTGCTTAAATCAAAGTACAAATGGATTACTTTGCTAGAAAAGGAAGTATAAGCACTTTGAAACTCAGCTATCTGTACTTTGGCCAGCATCCTGTTAATGACAAATCAAACAAAAGTCCACTTTATATCAGCAGATGTCTGTTTTAGTCAAGTGGGGGTTGGTATTCTTTTCCATTCTCTGCAATTACCAGTGTGCCCAGGACTCAAACAGTGTTGCTGCAACAGCTCCTAGAAAGTCAATTCTGTGGCTGATGGAAAATATGAGGGATTGGAGACCTTGTGGGTCTTGGCCCGAGATGGTATCAGTCTGTGTCTGGCTATGGGGCATAGTATTTGGACACAGCAAAACCAACACTCCTGGAAGGGCAACAATTGGGGGGGGGGGGCTCACTAGAGGAGAGATTATTACCAAGCATAAAAGCCAAACAGGAAGAATGTCAGGAATACATCCAGGTATTTAGAGTTACACAATTATTTTCTGACACTGTACTTGGATGATGTTTTTGGGCTATAGAAATGAGACAGTCGTCATAGGACCTGGAGAGTTGACACATGAAGGTTTAGCCTAGGGAAAATTATTGGCACTTCCCAGAGGAAGAGCAATTTGGGAAAGCGTTTTGTGATTCCCTACTGAAGGGGAGAGAAATAGCAGTGTACAGATGGAACAAGGTGTCTTAAAGGCTATATTCCTGGTTCAAAAAACTGAATATGCGACAGAGCGATTATTACCCTGTCTAGATAGTTACTGATAGTGGCAGGGACAGCCTTAAAGTATGGTAAGTGATAGGTATGTGCATGAAATTCGTTCCTACTGTTTGTACCATTTATTTTGTGTCTTCTGTTTATTTGGAAGCACGAAACGGAAAGCCCCCTCCCCATGCGAAAATCTACTTAATATAAAAGCCTGCCTACAGCCTGCATTTGTGTGCATCCGAAACTTGCCTCCTTGCCTTGGAAAGAGAGTGTGTGTGTGGCGGGCGTGCAGGCAGGCAGGGCCGGAGCTTGGCTGCAGGCATACTCTGGGCCTGCCTGCACGTCCTGCCGCACACATATGCCACACACATAGAGAGCGGTGGGGCGTGTGTGGCGAGGTGTGCAGGCATACCCAGAGTGCACCTGCAGCTGAGAGCCTGTTACTCTAGAGTAAGAGGCGGTTGGCTGTAAGCACTGGTGGGTGCGGACACTTTCTGGACCTGCCTGCATGCCCTGTCACACATGTAATCTCCTTGGAAAGAGAGTGCATGTGTGGCGTGGCATGCAGGCTGGTCCAGAAAGTGCTCATGCCCACCAGTGCCTACAGCTGAGCGCCTCTTACTCTATATTAGAAACAGCAGGTGCCAAGAAGAATGCATGCTAGGAAGGGGAGCCAGTGGGTGGGAAGCCCTCTCCCATAATGGTCCGATTTCTGGGCCCTGAAACAAAAAACGAAAAACAACCCTCCCAATTTTGGAAGGCTTACAAAAAATGGATCGGGGCCCCCAACAAAAGCCAGGATATGAAACGGGGCAAGGATTTCCCCAAATGCACGTGTCTAGTAAGTGAATACAAATCACTGGGGGAGAGGATATAGGATATTGGAGCATGGTTCTTTGTTTCCTCCCCACCATGTTAACAGTAATGGACAACAATGAGAAAAAAGAATACTAGAATCATGTCAGTGAAAATGGGGCCATTGAGAAAGATCTAGTTTATAGATCACAGTATTTGTTTGTATCAATTTAGACTTTTAGAAAGCAATGATATATTTTGAAAAATGCATTTGCTAGAAAGATCACAAAGGGAATGGATAACATTTCAAGGGAAAGGAGGACACCAGATATCAGGGAGACATGGATGCTGGTATGGAAATCCATGAATGGCCAGGAAAAACAGTAAGGAAGCAGCTGATAAGAATGATTTGTCTTATAGAAGTCTTTGTACTAGTGCAGTGAACTTGAAAAATAAATAATATGAACTGGAAATGCATAGCAAAACAAATATTAATTAGAGGCGTGACTAAAACCTAATAGGATGAGACTCATCAGTGCACTATCGTCACTGATTAATATAACATGTTCTGAAAAAACAGAATAAACAGGAAGGCATGAGAGATGGCATTTTCTGTACATCATTTTAAATGAGGTGATCCTGAGCTGGGGCATTAAAAGACAGGTTGAGAGCATATCAAGTTACGAACCTATCCCCATCTTCGAAAGGGGGACTTGGACAATACTGACCAGTCAACTAGCAACACAATAATAGTAGGAACCAGTCTAGAATGGATTAATAAACCTTTTTTAGCACTTTCAAAAGAATGCTGTAATTATTAATAGTGAGATGGGTTTCTAGAAAACAAGGCATGCCACTCAAAATCCTATGCCACCATTTTCTAAAAATAGAGTTAGAAACTAAAATGGCTTATTGAAACCTGGGTTTTGGACCTCACCTGTTAAGGAATGAATGCAAAAGTACTCTTTGGACAAGGGGCGATGACCTATCTCTAAACATGGAACTGAGCCATTAAAAAGTTGAAATACACTCTTTAATTTATTCTAATTAATTGAGATTATGGAGGTACACAAGAGAAATCATATGTCTGCTGTAAAGTGGATGACCTGAACCATACTTCTTGAAAGCATCTTGGGTACTGCTCTGGGTTGAGAATTTTGTCTCAAATGTTCTACCTGAGGTGTTGTATATGGTCCTACTCAGAACTGGCACATCCTGCAATTTTGGAGATGGAGTGATAAGCATATGAAGCTTATATGATGCCTTTAACACTTCTGAAAGTGTGTTAGTGTGTCAGTAGAGACACAGGCATTCTTGACACTGTGAAGAGTGTGTGAGATATTTATAGCAGAAGTGCTCAAGGCACAAGGCAGACATGGAAACAAGGAGTCTTTCCCCGGTTTCTCCATTAAAGACATTTCACTGGCCATGATTTGAAGGCCTGATCTGCCTTGAACATATTTTCAAAGGCAACCAGCTCCATGGTGTGTCCAATTCTGGTCTGCTTTGCTCTGGAAGAGTGCAGTCCTGCCCACATGGGAGGCCAGCATGTAAGCAGGATCCCTGCCAAGGAGGGACTCTTCTGCTTATTGCTATTGCAGGACTGCTTTGGAAACTCTCTTTCCTTGCACAGCCACGCTTGGCAGCTGGAGGAGGAGGAGGAGGAGTGGAAAAATCACCAAGGCACCGTAGCCGTGCCATATCTTGCAGAACACTCCTGTGTGTGTGTAGGTGTGTGTGTCCATACAGAAGAAGATTTGGGGGTTTGTCAACAGGACTAGTCCATTTCCTACATCCTCATCAAAGGAACTATGATTATGGGTTTGAAACTTGTCTTTTTCAATGGATGTGGAAACACACTTAAGAATGAATTGTGAAGGACTACAGGAAAAGTTAGGGATTGATTTATTGAACTGATAGAATTATTTAGCCATTGTAGTAGCTCCTCATTTTTAAGAAAGGTTTCAACATGCTGTATTAAACATTATTAACTTATAGAATACAAAGTCATTAGTTGAAGCACTTTGTGAAAATGAAATAAGTCTGATAATGTGAACGATTTCCTAACAAAAATAACACTCCAACTTTTGCTCTGGTTTTTATTTGCAATTGTTTTGTCAATGTCTTGTGCAGAAGACATAGACTAGAAGGGAATGTGAAAATCATTTCATTACAAAGACTCTTATCTGTTGCATGATATCAGATTCGGTCTCTGAAGCGTACTTATGGTGAACCTAAGCGTATTATAGATAGATCATTATGAACATTTTAGGGGTATCTACTTACAAAAACCTTATGTACAAAAGCTTGCCCCGAGTGTCGTTTTACTACAATCATTAGTATGATGGAAACCACTTTAGGGATGAATGGGAAACTGCAGGATGAATCAGTTCTCCCCAGTTTTGCATACAGGAGATCTTCCATCAGCACAATCCCACCTACCGAATTTTAGCTAAAATGTTTTTCAATTTCATTAACGATTATGTCATCATTATTGCTCACTGCTATATTTTTCTTTATGAAAGCCCTTAGTCTCACTGACTAGCAACAATATGGCCATCTTCTTTCATGGTTTCCCGCTTTGCAACCGTAACAGTGACAGGGGTTTCCTCTTGGTAGTCCTGCTGGTTACCAATACTATCTGAACTGGGATGATCCTGGCTTGTAGGAGACTGTGATCCCCTTTTTACCAGACTGTGCTCTTCTTCAGCACCAGAAACCTGTTGTTGTTCATTTGCAGCTACATCTCCCATTACCTTACTTCTGGCAAAGGTGACATTGTAAGAAACTAGATAGCCATCATTGTACATGTAGAGCTTCCGATCATTGGGATTGTAATTCAAACTCTGCACTGTAGGAAGTGGTTTCTCTATAAAGATGTTGATGTTGCTTTCCCTGCCTGTGTTGGTGTCGTACATGTAATTTATCTGGTCATGAGTTGAATTCTTTCTCTTGGTAGCATACAGCACACCACAGATCATAAAGCTATTACTGAGCGCATCTTTACTCTGCGAAGTTATCCAAGGTACTCCCACCTCCAAGGTGTCAGGGTCTACTTTCTTAATCACCAATTTCCCATTGGACAGTGTTGAGCCATGAACCATCCACAAGCCCTTTTCATCCCCAGCCAAGTCTATGTCCTGATATTTGACTCCCTTATA